AGAGAGAGAGAGAGAGAGAGAGAGAGAGAGTGGACTTACATCTTCGCGGATACCACAACTGGATCTCGGGCTGAAAGGCATGGTTAATAGCGTGTTGGTTGTGGAGCGTCCGACGGACTCGCAGGCGATCGGCTCCTCCTTTGAGTATAGTTTACCACTGAAGGGGTCGGCGGTGTTGAGGGACACAACCATTGAGTCGTGATTACAGAATAATTGCACTGAAAATATAATAGCAATAAATATAATATAAGTCAATACATAATTGATATATAAGTTGATGTGTAATATGTATTAAATCTATACCAAGTATACAGTGGCCTCTCTTTGGCTTGTATTTTATACAAATTAATTTCTGTAAGATTTACACAACGGTGTGATTGAGAGGATGAGAGAGCGAGAGAGAGAGAGAGAGAGAGAGGATAATTGGGGTTTTAGTAATGGTTTTTTGTGGTATTTGTTGCTCTCAATGCCCCCAATCGTTGCACACAATAACAGATTCTCACTGTCTGTCCGGTCTCTGTCTGTCTTATATAATATAAAGTCTGTCTTTACATGACTTTCTGTGTATTTAATTATTAGAGATAATAATCATAAAAAGTATACATAAAAACGAAACTAAATACAACTTTCACTTTTTAAAAACATATATTCATTCTCTGATTACTTATAGTTATTATGATTATAATGTATAAATTTTTTATTATTAGTTTTGACAGTAAATTAAGAGTTGTATGTTTACGGGAGATTAGAGACATTGTATATAACTTTATATACACACGAGGTATACATAGTCTACACAATGAAAAGTAAAAGTGAAAAAATTCATTAACTTTTTCTTAGTTTTTTACTTTCAAAAAATAAAATAAAAAGAGTAAAAATGAAATATAATATACACTTATATTTATGGCAATAGTTATAAAAGGACTAACAATTTTCCAGAGCCTATGCTTTCGTTATTTCGTTTGCGATATTTTTAGAGTTATTTCATAATTTATTTTCATTATTATTTCTCTCGTTTCGTCTCTTTTTCTTTAATACAATTATTATTACTTTTTTGTTGATTTCCTTTTTTATTTTCACATTTCTTGTGTTAAATCTCTTATTTTTTTCATTCACTTTTCACTCTTTCTCTCCCTTTTCATTCCTGTCGTCTATTTATATATACGAGTGAAACGAATGATAAGATTTTTCATATAATAATTGTAAAGAAAACAGTGTTTTTGTTATCAAAAAATATTCTCATATAATTAAATCTATTATTTTTTCTCGTGTATTGTGTGCTATAATTGGGTGTAAAAAATAGGGAAAATTGTTTTTCGTGAGCGAAAAAAAAGTAACAAAATATTAATTCAATTCACTTACGATCGAGACATGAGGAGCGCTGATAGTAAACGGCGCCCGAATGGGTGTCCAGCGATCGGACGCCGCCGACAGCCATGGCGTCATCGCTGCTGAGCCAACACTGAGCGGCCGGCTGTGAGTATGTGAACGATCGGCACACGAAAGCACGGGTGGCCTCACAGAGTGTGCGGCACTGATCCACAGAGAAGGCCGTGCGGACCAAATCCGCGCGTTTAATGTCCGAGTTTTCAAAGCGATCAAAGTCACAGTTGGGCGGACCCGTGGCCAGAGCCGCGCACTCGTTCTCGAAGTAGTCCACAGACCCGGCGGACACTCGATAGGCTGCCGGCTGTGACCGTCGGTCCTCCGACGACAGCCGGCACTGTTGCAGAGCGTAATCGTATTCTCCTATAGATAGCGATTGATTGTTGTGTGAAAATAGTATGTGATTTGTTTGCGGCAAAAGTTTTTTTTTTCCAATTAAAAAGGTATAGTTTTTATTGAATTTTTGTCACATAAAACACTTGAAAAAACACTTACCCGACCGGCAGACGAATGAGCGCTCTTTGAGACACAGCTCTTGACAGCGGAGACGAGAGGCCACTCCGTTGAGTATGCGGTCGTCAAAGCCGCCCAACTCGCGACCCATAACCCGCTCAAAAGTCCAGGCCTTCTCGCACGGGGCGGCCGACAGACATATCTTCTCGAAATATGAGGTGCGCTCCTGAGTGTTGACAATGGATGCGCCCCTATTGAGGCTGTCGTAGTCCATTCCAGTGCACATATGTTTGTCGTAATTAATCAAAAATGCCCGACACTTGGGTCCCGCCCGACACCTGTTGTTGCACTCGGCGGTGACCGGTGTGTCGGCCGGTCCCGAGTATAATGGATACAGCGGTACGCCTCTCACCGTAACCGCCGATATCTTCTCAAAAGACATTGTTGTGCCGATCGGACACTGAGCTGAAAGTATAGGCGTTTTGTTTAACAGGTTTTTGATTTAATTTAAGATATTTTTATATTTCTTATATTTAATAAAACTATTTTAATGATTAGGAATTGATAGGAATTTTGTTATGTATTTTTGGGATATTTTATTTCAAAACCAATCGCTCGAAAACGATATCCAATTTATTTCTATAATGAGTTAATTTCCCGGAAAAGTAGTTTTGAATTTACTGTTAAGAGTTTGATTGATATGTATTAATATTCATACGAGTATTCCTTCGGTAATGAATGTTTGCGATAAATAATTTATGAGATATTTTGTATCGTTTTTTATATTTAATTACAAAAAACAACAAATAAATAGTGAAACAAATAAAATAATTAATAAACAAAAGTGTTTAGAGAAGAGCAGTCTATGCATGCGTTCACACCTTTGGGTTGCGCTCACAGACCGTATGAAAAATACTATTACAACGAGTAGTGCTTTGAATACCATTTGTGACATTAGATTCATTAATAATATAGAAAATCTGTTGTTTTCTTTTTACACTTCTTTTATACTCTTCTTCTTATTCTCGTTGTTTTGGTTTTGTTTTTATTTCTCTATTCTTTCATTCATTTCGTTTTATTAATGCATTTTAAATGAAATATATTTTAATGAATAAATTGTTTCACTATTTTAGTATTAAATGTTTGTCAAATCTTATTGTATTTTTTAAGGAAAGGAAATTTAATACGGTTTCCCATTTAATCTACTTATTTACTCTCTCTCTCTCTCTAAACACTTTTGTTTATTAATTATTTTATTTGTTTCACTATTTATTTGTTGTTTTTTGTAATTAAATATAAAAAACGATACAAAATATCTCATA